AATCTCCACGCTACCCATACAAGAGACCATTCTTTTTGCTGTTCCTTCCTGTTCCCCTCTAATGAACCAGTGAGCAATCCTATCCGAGCTCAGATAATTGGTCGGCTAAAAAACCTCCCACTAATGGGCTGCCATAAGCAAGGCGTCAAGAGTGGGGGAAAACTTCCCTATCACTTCACACCTTCAACCTGAACCGACGTAGTATTACCTCGACGGTTATGGCCTCTGTGCAGCGAACCCCCCCCCTTCCCCAACCCGAAAAGTACATGGAAAACAGCATTGATAGTTCTCTTAGTCAGTTGGAGTAGGTGGGGTGGTTTCAAGGGTTCATTGTCCGGACCATGAGTGTTGGAGCTGTCTGCGGATCCTGAACATCCTGAAGTTGTCCTTCCTTGCTAGAACTATCAATGCTGTTTTCCATGTACTCTTTTCTGGTTGGAGGGGGTGGGGGTGGTGGTTTCACTGCACTGAGGCCATAACCGTCGAGGTAATACGTCGGTTCAGGTTGAAGGTGTGAAGTGATAGGGCAAGTTTTCCCCTACTCTTGACGCCTTGCTTATGGCAGCCTATTAGTGGGAGGTTTTTTAGCCGGCCAATTATCTGAGCTCGGGTAGGATTGCTTACTGGTTCATTAAAGGGGAACAGGAAGGAACAGCAAAAAGAATGGTCTCTTGAATGGGTAGCGTGGAGATTCCCAGCTGCTGTACTAAAGCATTCCCATTTGCAAGCCATCTCCAAGTCAGTCATGAAGCCATAAAAACACCGTATTCCAGTGCGACCACCGATTAGCCGTATAGAGAGGGTCGTTTCCGGAAAGCATCACTTAATGGCAGTGACAAGCAACGAGATCGACATTCTTTCCGATTACATGTCGCGCTGGCGTCGTAGTCATCGTCGTCTTCGTTGTAGAGTGCGTGTTCAAGTCGTCGTAATGGAGTGGAGTGTGATTGACGTGTATGCAGCAGAAATAGCGGTAATCCGCGTGTTTCTCTCTCTCCTCGACGCCATTTTCGCGCGAGAAGCGGAGCGCCCAGCGATTACGACATGCTCTCAATGATATACGATGACTGGTGGTGGTCATTTGGTCTTCAAGGATTTACATCTGGGGAACGAGAGCGAAGTTGGCTGTTCATAAGATGAACAGCTTGAGATTGGCGTTCGAATTCGATCGAGCTAAAAAGAGTGGCTTTTTGGGCGACGGACGGCCGCGATGGCGGCCGTTGTACGTCCGGTCTGGGAGATCGCCGGATAAGCGCAGGAATGCTGCAGCAAACCTTCGACTTTGAGAAAAAGTTGATTGTGAGGGAGAACGTAAGCGGAACTGCTGGGTCCAGAAAGGCCGAAGAAGGAAAAGAAAGAAAAAAGCCTCACTTTTCACCACAGTATTCGAAAAAAATTTTACCAGGGCTTATGGCTGATTTCAGCCAGTTCCCTATTTTTTTAGTTCTTCGTCCAGTCGTAAATAAGTAACTAGGAGGGTGTTGTGTGGCGGACATGCAGCGATAACGCAACAATGGCGGCTTGATTGACAAGTCTGCTCATAATCGTTGCATACATAGGCACACGGTCATTAATATTGGGACATCTTGGCGGATTGACCTTCGGATTATGAATATCCGGTGTGTATTTGGGCAGGATTAGGATTAGCACTCCTATAGTGATGTAGCAAACTTGAGGTCATTTCTTCCATTCTTTTGTTGACAAGGTGTTTTTGTGGCTGGCAAGCTGAGGGTTAAGCACTTCCGTAACTCCGTTTTTGTTCCCGTGGCTCTACTTGTTATCAAGATAGGGAGAGAACTGTTGAATGCATGGCACAAAGGCAGTCACAGGGTTATCAGCTTCATTTCTTAGAATTGAGGTGGATAACTCTTAAGGTAGCTTTTAGGTTGTCCATTCAACAGTTTATCCTTGTCTTGGGGACAAATTAAGTCACAGGAACGAAACTGGGGTTACAGAAGCGCTTGACCCTTGATTTGCCTGCCGGAAAACTCCCTGTCGGCGCTATTCCCGTAAGAAGTGAACCTAACTTCCTGGATCACATAAGAAAGGGCTGAGAGAACAAGCACAGGGCTATCGGCTTCCTTGCCTAGAGATGGATAGCCCTGTACTAGGCCTACTGGGCGCTTCACCCAACTGCTCCTGGCGCTACGACAATGAACAAGTTGAAGTTGCAGAGGAAAAATGAGGAACTGGGAGATTCTGGCTCTCGCTTTGCCTCCAAGCTGCTCCTGAGAGAGAGGGAGTGGAACTGGGCTTTTCCATGGGTAAAAATTGGGGGATTTTTGGTTCCTACGTTGCTCTCAAACTGTTCCTTCGGGTAGAAGTGAGCTTTTTTTATCGATAGAAATTGTAATTTTCGGGTCCCACATTGCTGCCAAACTGTTTTTTCAAGTGGGAAACGCTTTTTCATGGGTAACTGTATAATTACATATTTCAGGTGTACTATGTGGTCTGTGACGCGACGGTGACAAAGTTCACGAAATACCCAGTGACGGTCACGTCGAGCTCTCGTGACGATATGGTGAAGGTCACTGGCAAATGTGTGGCGAATGCTGCTCCAGCTCAAAGTGGTGAGTCGCTCTGACCTTTTGACACTTTTTGGCCAATTCCAGCCGCTTACGGGTGTCTCGATGTTCCTGTTTTAGAAGCGCCAACTGGATTCTGCACGTCTACTGGTAGATGGAATCACCTGATTGGTGAATGTGGCTGTAAGCCGGGCTACACAAGTGACTCTTTCAATGGAGAGGACAAGTGTGTTGGTGAGTTCCAGTTGGAATAGAGATCGTTTCTCCTCCCGTTCTCTACACCACACAGTGGCATCGTATCGTATTTCCCAGGAGGAAATTACCAGTTTGCGAGGCCTTGTGGTAATGGTGTTGTTGGTGGTGGTAATAGGTATTGTAGTTTCACCGCCCTAATGCGTATAGTCGGCACTTTGACGGTACAATGGCGGTGGTGGATGGTAGAAGTAAAGGTCACGATGAGGGGGTACATTCCCATTCGAATGAGGAAATTTGATAATCATAATACCGTACGAGGTAATTTGCACGTCTTGGCATCGTAATGGACTCACCCGTGCAGTAGAGGTCACCCAAAAGGCTATAGAGCGGGTTTATGTCCCAATGTCTTAATGGAAGCCGCCTGGGTCGCCGCAACCCGAAAAGGAGCTCTACGGGCTGCAACATACGGAGATCATCATAAAGCAACGGCTAATTAGAGGCGGCTCAAGAAAACATGCCGCTTCGCTTGATTATACAACTGTCTCCGGGGGTGGTAATCGAGGAGTTCACTGGGGCGTGAATAGTGTGCGGGTTTCTCCCAGATAAAAGGGTTGAAAGCCTTAGTTGGGTAGGAGGGGGCAGATATTTTATTGATTCTCGAAAGACTTTCCATCTCGCGAAAGAATAGCCGAAAGATGTTTGTGCACCTGAGCAATGCGTAGATTACGTGATAAGTATCTAGTGGGGTGTTGACCTTGACGAGAGTGGGGGAACTTTTCGGGGAAAAGTGTTGATTGAAGAGAAAAAACGTCTGGGCTGTCTGCTTTCGGTATTTGTTGCACTGCAGCTTGCTTACTGTAGGGGTACTGTAGCTTGGTGATAATGAAAAGATAGATCAACTTCATGAACCACGAACCTTCCAGTGGCCTTTTGTAGGGAGGAGCGGGGTAAGGGAATGAGCCCGGCCGAAAATTGCCTTCGAGGATAAATGGTGGACAATTGGAGTGCATATGCATTTGATATAAGGTAGTATTAATTGACGACGATCAACAACCTTATGGAGCGGGGGGGGCAGGTAATGCATTACTGGAGATAATAGGTAAATGTAATTAGGAATAATGCTATCAGTTGAAGGCCAGCTCAGAAGGCCGCTTCTACTGATTAGGATTGAATTGGATTTGTTATACGGTATAGCCCCCCCCACCCTAGCGTTGCGTTTTCGCAGAATCTCATCAGGATTGTGTCCTGAAGGTTATACTACCCAAGGGCTAGAAGTTTGTCCCAAGAAAACCAAAAGACTCTAAATGAACTTCGGAAGTGCGTAGGTTTCTGAATATTTCGGAGCATAGCACCATTTTCATGCGGTCGCGGTCAGCCTCTACTACGGCGCAGTTCAGCTTGGGGGGGGGGGGAAGGGATACATCAGCGCTGGTGACTTTTCAGGCTTTTGAGGGAATGCTGAGTAGAACTTGAAGTAGCGATTGCGATGTGATGGAGCAGGTCGGATTGGTGGGGGCAACAAATGGTTTCTAGCTAAGCCTTGACAAGTCAACTGGTGAAAAGCTGTGAATTCCGTAAGTGTAAGTGAAGGGGTTCAGTCGCACCATTCCACAGCTTCACCGGAATTTATTGGTCTCACCAAAATGGGACCTGTTCTTGACATGAGCTAATAAAAATAAATAGGAGAAGTGCAAAATGTCCCCTCCAAACCGAACAGGATGGTACAGCTATGAAGGGCTATGAAAGCCTCTGCGGTTGTCCTTTAAACACGAGCTCTGAGAGGAGCTGTGCTTGGTAGTGGGGATTCAAGACCACACAGAGATGATGCTTTGCACTAAACGATTTGGCAAAAAGGAATCCCGAGTTTCGGGTTCATCTGGCGGTGCTTTGGTTTCTTTGGAACAAATTTTAGGGCCACCCGGGTTGCGGCCTGATTACAGTAGTTTGCTGTGTTGAGAGTTGATAGCAGGTCTTTCTTGCTTCCTAATCCAAGCTTTCTTCCGTTGCGATAATATCTCCAATAAATTCTCGATACTATGCACCCTAAAGGGCGATTCCGGCAATGTAGGCTATTTATCTCCTCGATGTTGCTATCGTGTGTAGCGTTTCAAGTGATGAACGAGAGTTCGTCGTGCGATGGGGTGATTTGCAACAACTTGAACCCCGTGGATGGGAGCTTAATTGCATGATGCGATTATCATGGGCAGGGCGCCGAAGGGTTGCCCGTCGTTAGATTCAAATATTGTTTGTGTATGGATGTGGAGGAAATCATCGGTCGTCGGCGTCGTAAGAGGGTTAGAAGGCAGGTGCGAAGCGCATAGACACCCAACACAGACAAACGTGACCGTAATTGCAGCCGTGCCTGATCCATTTAGCTAAGCGAGTTAGCTGTTCCAGTTAGTGGTAATGACGTGAACATGAACAGCAGAGGAGTTAGCGAGAACTTGACCTGGGGGAAAGGGGGGGGGGATATATTCCATTATGTTATTTGACAGAACCACGGCTGGAGTGGATAGAATAGCAAGGATGAGGGAGCTCAAAGAACCTTTCACTGGAATAAAGCCCTGCTCAGAACAGCCCCGACCGAATTATGTGTTCTTTTCTTCCGCCAAATGAGGATGCTTGATAGAATCTTCTCTTGACCGGACGTTTTGGCCCTTTCGCCTTCTACAGAGGCCAAAGATCCCACCAGTGGCGCGGAGCATTAGCTCGACCCTAAGTTAGTCAGTAAGTGCAAAATAGGTGCGAGTGGTCCCTAGTTCGCTCTTACTGGTATAACTAACACAGGGCTCAAGCTGTTGCTCTGCTCCATTGGTGGGATCTATGGCCTCTGGAGAAGGCGAAAAGGGCAAAATGCCGAGCCAAGAAAAGATACCATCACCATTCTCATATGGCGAAATAATGGCCACATAATTTGACGGGGGTTGCCCTGAACAGGCTCCTGCTTCAAAGAAAGTTTTTTACAAACTGCGTATGATCCTCTTGTACTGGCTGTATCGACTTGCTCCAATTTCACGGCTATCTCAGTTCGTCATCTGCACATTCCTTGAAGTTTTTTGATCGGCCGGCCGCTGTTGCCCTACCGGTTTGGCCGTTCGCGAAGTTTATGCGTTGGTGAGAAGCTTTTTCAGCTGGTCGACTTTGGAAAAGCGTTTTATAAGTCGATAAGGATTCTCGGAGAGGAGGAGGAGGGGGGGGGGGAGGGCGGAGATTGTGAGTGGTTTTCCGCTACTCCGAATTACCATACCCAGGTGGATACTCTCTCGAACTTTGGCATGATGAATATCGTGGTTTATTTTTTCCAGGCTTAGGGGCTTTGGTTGGCATGGTATCGGGGTATTCGCTTTCGTCAGAGCCTGTATTGAGCAGAGCACTGTTTGGTGTGATTTGGGCTCTGATGAGGGCCAGACCCCGAAATGTCCAATAAAAGCCCAGGATGCGCGGTAAAGGCGCACGTGAGCGCAGTAGTTTTACTTCGCCTAGACCTTCATTGAAAACAGCTTCGTCCTGCCTGTTGGGAATTTTTTTTTCGCAAAATACAACGTCCTTCTGAAAATTCCGCTGCTGTGGTACGACGCCCTTTATCATCGCACTCGATCCCTCACCCACCATCTTCCTAGAATTTCTTCTTTTTCTGCCATTTTTCCGATTTTTTTCCCCAAAAGTTCCTCCAACTTTTCCCAAGACACTGCCGTCGAGGAACGTAGCGGGAGGGTATATAGGGAAAACCCAACTCGGTCAGCAGAGAGGAAAGTCGACGACCTGAAATGATTTGACTCCTTGTGAACTGGAGCAGGTACTACTGGTACTCGACGAGACCCACTCACTATAGGTGCTCGTCGAGCCCCTATGGTCAAAACCTGTCACATCTTGGTTCTCTAGATAGTTCGTCACGTCGATGGGAAGTAGCAACAGTGCAAAAGCCTCCCCCCTTCACCGAACTCCAACGAAATAGGAATAGAAGAATCATTTGGAAATCTTTAGTGATTGTGGAATTTGCTGTCTTCGACCCCCCCCCCTACCCCGATTGCTGGCTGAATGATTCACTAAACCCTGTCATGGTCGGATATTAGGACATTGCTGGGTGCGAAAGCTTTGGGAGTGTGATATTGAGGGACATTTCAACTCGGCTGTCAGAGAGGAGGCTCATAAAGCTGCCGGGGTGTTCAGTTGTCACTGAAACGTTCTCTATTGCGTGATATTCGTTGTACGAGTGGGATAATGTGATGTGATCGGTGATGGATGCGTCAGGTAGTATATATCTGCACTGATCGTCTTCCGCCTGATACACATCTTCCCGTATTGCGGCGGCATTCTTTAAGATGCGTCATGACAAATGAGCACTGCGCTCGTTCTTCCCCCGATCGTCTGGAAACGGGGCGTTAGTTTTGACACCGGGTATCAACTGCACTCTTCAAGCCGTTCAGGGTCGGAATGCTTCATTTGTGAAGCCAGCCAAACGGGAGGGCTTGCTGAACGACGTTTGGGACCTCTGAGCCACCCGTCCGTAGTGCTTTTTCCAATCAACTTGATAGAGAGTGTAATTTGGATGTGAACGGCCAATTCTCTCTCCGGAGGACGAGCCAACGACGAGCTTTACGAGCGAGTGGCGGCTGCAGCAGCAGTGATGAGTGACCATTGAGCGCTGGGGGAGAATGTGGTGCTGCCGTCCGATGTGTGTGGGGGTTTTTTTCACTGAGGGACTCTGAACCACATGCCAGAATTGGTGCCGACATTTATGACAGGCGCAGTGCTTTGATCAAATGTGCGTTGGGGGTTTGCCGATGATTTTAATGCCAGCCGCAAAGCTTCACTATTTTCGGCGCTGGGTGACAGAAGGTCGACAGAGGGTTGAGAGAGTGCTGAGACGAGACGGGCGGACCGGTCTGCCGACAGGTGTTTCATTAGGTTGCTTACCGGAATGAGCTGATCTCCAACGAGGCGTGAAACAACCACACCCGATATGATGGTTCAGCTGGTCTGGTGAGGGCTTTGTAGCACCGGCTTTTAATTAGAAGGTGGAAAAATATGGGCCGGTTCAGCTGCCGTTAAGTGTTTTTTATAAAGGGCGTGTTTGAATGTCTTGGCAATTGTTCTGTTTAAATGCCAGCATAAAATGAAAGAAATTCCGTGTTATACACGATTGGCATTAGAATCGGTCTGGGTATATACACGGAGCGCTGTTCGGTCGGGATGGGGGAGGAGGGGGGGGGATGGGGAAGTGGAGGCCTCTCACACTGCCGCTTCTTCCCATTGTCGCGTCGAGCCTCACAAGCAGACACGTCCTGCAGCAGGGGAAAATTTTCGCAAACTACGGAAAATTCGGAAATTCCTCCTTTTTTGCGCCCGGAATTACTGTCCTTCAATGAGGGAGCGGCGGTGGAGCATGATTTGTTTAATGGCGGGAGAGGAGTCTTAGTGGTCCCGAGAGAACTTGTTGCGATATACTGTTAGTTAGCAATGTAGTCGACGATGCGGCAGGACTATTATTTCTTAAAATTGCTCGGACTGTCTTCACCCCCCCCCCCAACCCGCTCGGCGGCAGATCTTTGTGGGAAATTGCTATGGTACGGGTAGCTCGAGCGTACCGGTAAGGACTACTTGGGGGGGGGAGAATCTGCAAAGTGCCCCTCCCAAGTCAAACGCGCCACCTTTTCTTTTCCAATACCCTCTTGAAGCAACTTTTGGCCGGCAAAGTGCTCGACAAGTGTCTCGTATCTAGCTCACCAACCTATTACGCAACTTTCTGTGGTTTAGAGATAGGGCTTATCTCAGTGGGTCGATATTTGGCAAATTTGGCCAGTTCTCATGAGCGCAATAGACCGACCAACCAACCTAGGTGACCGCGCCACATGAAAGATACACCGCCAGGTGTGTTTGATAGGAGAAGAGACGAGCGCCGAAGATTTACGATCCTTATATGTACCCGCCGCCACGAAAGTCTCCATGATTTATCGCGTATAAATGAATTGTGGGGGGAGAGGAGATGATTAGTCTACTGATTGGACAAGGTCATCACACCATAATAAGAACGCCTCGTTCCAGCCGTTGAATGTCGCATAATAAGTTGCCATTTCGAAGGAAAATTGGCGTTGGTCTGTTCCGGCGTTCGTCTCCTTTGTATTCCGGAAGAGTCTGAAATGGCTCGATTGGAATTGGATCTGAATTTCATTAGCCGCTGTTTACTTTGGGACGAACTTTTTCGGCTGACTTGCTCAGCCGGAAATGTCCAGCAACATTTCACCCGCTCGAGTTATTCGTGTGTGAAAGTACGACGAGTACGCGAAGGAATGAATCAGCTGGATCCATCAACGAAATGAGGCGCTGGAAACTGCAGCGACTGCACTGATGTCGTCGACTCATGCAGCGGTCTCTTTCATGCCCAGCTCGCCGCCATTGTGTATTCTTTTTGAGGGAAATCCGATTAGCGCCAAATCAACGGCTTTTTGCCGCGCCACAGATTTGTTTGTTATTTGAGACGATCCACCGACGATGATGGAGGGGGAAAAGAAAAGCACCCGTCTTGCCGCTCGGGTCACCTACGGTCAGCTGCTACTATTTGGGTGTTTGGAAAGCCGATCGTTTGCGTTTCTTTCGGACGCACGGGTCTCCAATGTCGATGGATGGCCGCCAAAACAATAGCCAAATGGGTGCGAGCTATGACAGTCGATCGATCATACTTTACGGAGAGCTGAGCGGTGTAGTTTTAAGAGGAGAAGTTCTGCAAAAAAGAGACTGGTATGACGTTCGGCTTGGTGGAGGCAATTTGCTTGTTGTCGTTGATCTCCCCGAATGCGTTCTATGGTGTTTGGCCTTGGAATTAAGCAAAAAGTCAGGAAAACTGGGGTTACAAGTAACGTAAACGAGTCAGTTCGGCTTGGTGGGCGCATTTCACTGCTTCCCATCGAGCCCTGTGATGGACTTTGTGAGACGTGTAAAGTCCTGCGAGCTGTACAATCGCAGGAGCTTCTCTTGCACTTGACAAGTGCCTACAATGTTCACCAAGTAGCTAATAAT